TTCCTCCGTCACTGAAGCAAGCAAACCTCCTGTTCGCTTCAAGCTGCCTGGCTGCCGGCCGCCATCTTGGTTGGCAGTTAATCTGCATATCGTCCTGATTAGCCAATGGGAAGGGTAGTGGAGGTACGGCTAATTACCATGTTTCTCTATTATTAGATAGGATTATATAACAGAACCCTAGGAGTGTCACATACTAATATCTCTAGCACAAGTTCACTAGAACCCATTTTTAGAGATTTTCAGTATACACTTTATTATTAACCACAGTAATTGAAATGGAAGTGAGGCTGGGAACAATCCTCATTAGATGAACGCTGTTTGCATTTAAGGACTAGCCATTGCTGAGATTAAAATGGAACCAATTTCAATGACATTCCTTGGGGCATTAGAGAGTGTCCATGATCTAAATGAGTTCTCAAGGGAGCTTAACCAGCCAGATGCCAGTAGAAAGAAAAGGTTTCCTCATTCAACCCTCCATAGACAAGCGGAGAGGCAGACTGATTTTGCAGATCAGTCCCCTATGAAGATGGTCTACAGATGACTATCAAACCCTGAACAGGCTGTGGCGGTGAAGTCACACAAGCCTTAGCTCTAAAAATGAAGGAATCATGCACTTTAAACCTCTTAAGAGCTTAAGAAGAGATGAAGCTCCTAAATCCACAGCCCATTAAGCATACACTAACGTCTGTGTGATGCCCCTGACAGGTCTGCTTAAGAGGATTATTAATGTCCCATCAATAGAAGCCCAAATAGGAGGCTGACAGAAAGCTTAGAAAACATCAGATTTTTCTTTAATTTTAGCACACAATTGGGTACTGATTTTAAGGCTTAAAAGCCATTTGTGGAATGATCAGGCAGCAGTTTCAATTTATTATATTATTTTACTTTATTAGTACACACTTATATAGAGCTTGCTATGTCCTGGGCACTGTCATAAGTACTTTGCAATGAGAAACTAATTTAATCCTTTTAATAGCCCCACTCGTAGGGTTGTGTCCTCATCCACATTTTACAGATGAGGCCACTGAGGCACATAAAGGTCATAAGGCTAGTTTCTATAACCAAGAAACGACAGTAGCTGCTCTAGAAGCCCCCCTGACCTTCCAGCTGTATTGTCACCCGTGTTCCCTGTGCAAGTGTCTATGGCACTTAATGTACTAATGCTGCCCTTCCAAGGGGGCTCCCACTGGACTTTGAAGTCCCTGGGGCCAGGGTCCCATCTTATTCACTCATCCCCGTATCCTTATGCTCAGTGTTCAAACCATATTTTCCAAATGGATAAAAAAGTGCAGCTCCATATCACTTATCTGTAACTCTTGGGGCTACATGTGTCTTAAAATTCAGAATATTTTGGATTTTAGAAAGTTCACACACTATACGTGACCACTGGTGGGATCTGGGACAGCAATCCATAGTAAAATACATGAACAATTCTACAGTTAAACTTACGAACAGTAACATTAAGTAAGTAAATAAAGATTAGGAATATAGATAAAGACTAGAGATAGCCGCATGAGAGTTTACCAACAAGTGTGCTATGAAGAAAAAAAGCACTTTGGGAGTTTTGGGGTTTTGGAATCACAGGTAAGGGATTGTGAGTCGCAATTTCTTTGAAGGCCTCTAACACAGTTGTGCAGATTACAGCACTGTCTTACTGTGAAAAAGAAAAAATGCTCCATTCATTCAGTTACTGTGCACTGATGACCATGCCGAGAACTTGGAGGACACCTGGTGGAGACCTGGATCCATACTGGGCTCTTGGCACGTAAGTGCCAACTCAGGGAGATTAGAGAGATGTGGGACTAAAGAAAACAGCCTTGGACTAAGGCTCAGGAGAAAGGGTTCAGAGGGAGTTCCACTCCCTTCCAGCCACTTATTTTGGGGAGAGCACAAGACCAACTTGGCAGACATCCACAGACTAGAAAAGGTGTCATAAAAAATAGTTCCATGCTTAAATGCTGGGTTATATGGCATTTCTCAATGTTATCCAGTCAAAAAATCCTCTTTCCTTTCACCTTTCAAATGAAGTGTCTTACTGTTGTCCCAAATTATGTGCTCCTCAAGGGCAGTAACCATACTATAACAAATAATCATAAATGTAGATGCTTAAAACAACACATTTATCTTATAGTTCTGGTGGCCAGAAGTCCAGAATGTGTCTCACTAGGCTAAAATCAAGGTGTCAGCAGGGCTGCACTCCTTCTGGAGACTCTGTTTCTTTGCCTTTTCCAGTTTCCATAGGCTGCCCACATTCCTTGGTTCATGGCCCCTTCCTCCATCTCCAAGCAAGCAAAGGCCACTGAAGTCTTTCTCATGCTGCATCAGTCTGATTCTGACTCTGGTTCTCCTATCTGCCTTTCACTTGTAAGGAGCTTGTGATTATATCAGACCCACCTGGATCATCTCCCCCATCTCAAAATATTAATAACTTAACCACATCTGCAAAATCCCTTTGCCTTGTAAGGTAACATGTGCAAATTTTTGGAATTAAAACCTG